TTTCCTTAATTTTCATTATTATTTTATCCATTTCTGCACATTGTAAAATTTTCCTAATCACTATTTCTGGTGATATATTGTTTTGCTTCCATCCTTGTGCAGTGGTAATCCTTGCTGCCGTTAGTATATGTAGTATTAGGTATTGTGAAGATTTGTCTATTTTTGGATCTATTATTCCTAATATGAAGAGCTCCAGTTTAAATTCTATCTTTTGTAATATGATTTCCTCCAACCAGCTCTTAATCTTATACCAATTTTTTTTTATTTTAGGACACATCCAGCACATGTGGTAGTATGTTCCTAATTTATGGCCACATCTCCAACATTTGGGTGATAGATTTCAAAACATTTTGGCCAATCTCGCTGGTGCCAAATGCCATCTATAGAACATTTTGTACAAATTCAATTTTAACATTCTATGTTGTAGATCAGGGGTGTCAAGGTGGCAGCCAGCGGGCCAGATGCATCACACGTGGGCCACACCCACCCAGCTCTGCAAAGGGGAAAAACATTGCGATACATCACGTGATGGCAATGTGACGCTGTGAGTTTGACACCCATGTTGTAAATGATTTCTATTTGTTTCCTTTGGCGAATGAAACATCTGCAAGAAAACAACCAAGCTCAAAGGTTTTACTGTTGAGTTATTTTGCTTTAAAAAAATGACACTCCCCCCCAGTTTCTAAACCTAATTAATCTTTATTCAATAACATAGACATTCAGTCTGTCATCCAGATCCCACTTTACCCTTCATCTGTTACACAAGCTGATGGATCTGGGTTCACTTTGGAAGCTCTGCTGTTTGATATGATCCAGAATTTTAAGACATACTCCTCCCTTATGCATTCCTTTACAAGCAACTTCTCCAATCAACTGAAGTTTAATTGCTGTCCTCAAAAAAGATATTAAATTAGCCAAGGCATTAACTAGAAGTCTTATGCCAAGTGTAGTTGAAAGCTGACTTTAATATTAAATGTCTGATTTACTGTTCACTCTGGATGAGAAGTCTGCTAGATTTAATATACTTTTACAAAATAATAAGTTTATAGATACCATTAAAAACTGCTATTGGAATACATTGTTAGATGTCCACAAGTATATGGATGTATACAATAACTACTATAATCGGGATGTCCAGTACATAAATATCAGTGAAAAACTATAAATATACAGATTCAGCACAGTTATTACATTGCATATCTTGGACACTAATAAGAAACTTAGGTGAAAAAACAATGATTCGGTGAAAAAACAAAAAAACAATAATAATTATCATTATCATTATTATTTTCATGCTATCAAATTAGTCTGACTCTTGTTGGCATACAAAGTAAAATACAATATAAAAACACCCACACTAAGAAAAAAGGAAATAATAAATAAATAAATAAAATTTGTTTTTCATTCCTTGTTACTACAGGATTCTCAACACAAAAAATAATTTAAATCAACAGTAATTAAAATAAGAACAAAATAAAGAACAAAATGAAAATCATAAAAATTGGTGCCAAATACCCTCCATAAAAGGTTAATCTTAAATTTTAAACTAAACTAAAATTATTGCAGCAGCAAATTTCTTTGTTAACTGTTTCAGATATTAAACAGAAACTTAAATATACAAAACAACACTTTTTTGAACATGCAAATAAACTAGGGAGATGGTTGGCATACAAACTAAGAAAACAGACAGAAAAGATGATGATATTGTAGTATTTGCAGTTAGTTAGTTATTTAGCATATGGCGATGTTACAATTCCCAGGAGACTACAATGCTTGTATATAGTAACTTTTTGGCTGCTAAAAAAATGCTAGTCCATTTAGTTCACACTCATGGTGCACTACAGGGGGCAAACTGACTTCGCACCAGAAAGACAAATGGATCCTTCAGTGACATCCAGAGCCTTCTCTCACCACTGATATCACTTCACCTCATAGTCAGATGTCACATCTGGACAGGTCCAGAACCAGCAGGGGTCCGACTGCCTGTACAAAAATCTGCCCACCGAAGTGATACCTATTTATCTACTCAAATGTAGCATGCTTTCAAACTATTAGGTGAATAGAAGCTGAGGCAAGTGATGGAAGCTTACTCCAACTGGTGCTACGACTTGAATTGCCAGAGTAGTGACCACTTCCAGCATCTTTATGCCACTGAGCCACCATGCCTATTTTTTGCAGTTAGTATATAGAATCTATTCACACAGTGACCTATAAATACCTCACATTTAAATGAAACTTATACAGTATAGTTATTAAATCAACAATATCTTTTACAGAATGAAAGATCTATAGTGATAATAATAATTTAGAAATTAAATATTTTTCTGTGTGTGTGTATTTGAAATAGTCTTTTTTTTTTTTTACACATTCTACTCTCCTTATGGAAATTATTCTTAGAAATATAGACAACTTATGGGCTGAAACTCATTAAACAAGAGATGTAAAGATATACTCAGGAAACTTACTCCCAGAAGAAAATCTCTAATTTGGACATTATGGAATCCTGAGGAGAAAGATATATGACCCTGTTTTACTAAGATAATAAGCATATTACTAGTGCTACTATACAGGGGTGAAATCTACTTACCTTCCCTACCAGCTCAAAAGTGCACGCAAAGCCTTCTGCGCATGCAAAGAAGGTCAAAAACGGGTTACTTCCTGGTTAAAACCAGGAAGTAACAATGTCTGGGCAGCTGGGCGGAGTCTCACACTGCCGCCACTAGTGGTTCGCTGAACCATGTGCCGCCGCTAGGTTCGCAAGAGCCAAACAGAATCAGCAGGATTTCACCACTGCTACTATAACATAAAAATCCTGAAGATAACAGAAACAGGAAATTAAATTATTATTTCAGATTTTCAGAGTCTTATTTGCACAAGTTTCATAAGTGATTCAATATTCCTGAGGTAATTGGGATAGTCCATTCCTAAAATAATTGGAATAGAACCGAGTTGGATTTGCCTATGGTGAACTCAGTCTCTTTTGATATTATGGAGTAACTGGTACCGAAGGGGTGGTAAGTGAATACTACCCCACCTAGTTCTGTCTCGTCCTGCTCCTCAGACTCTTTCTCAGTCTCTGACGGGGCTATGACATAAGTTTTGGTAGGTTGGACTCTAGTTTTTTTTTTGCGTGAAGACCAATGAAAAGAATGAGTTAAGTAGCTCTGCTTTCTCTGTTGCTTGTTACTTCTTGGATTTCTTGTTTTTCTTTTTCAGTGGTATTGTGCTGGATTGGGCTTTTATGATCATATTTGTCAGTTTCCCAAGCTTCTTGAGTTGTTTTCCCTTTTAGGATTTTCATCCAAGGAATCTTTCCCAAGTTCTCTCTGAGTTTGTTAAAATCATCTCTTTTAAAATCTAAGACTCTGGTATCATTATGTTCCATTGCTTGTGTTTGCATTATGTTGAATTCTAGAATGATATGGTCATTCCCATCCAAGGTTCCTGCATTTTCAACTCCCTCTATCACTTCTTCTCTGTTTGTAAGAATTAAATCCAGTATGGCTGTCCCTCTAGTTCCCTCTTCTACCTTTTGGACAACAAAGTTGTCAGCTAGGTTGGTCAGGAACCTGTTCGATTTCTCACTTGGTGCAGAATTAGTCTTCTAGTTGATGTCAGGATAATTGCTATTGCCATTACTATTGTAGTGTTTTTCTACATATATTTGTTAATTGGTTAGCAAAAAGTACATTTATTTTTTCTGCTTGGTTGGGTGGCCTGTAGTATACACTTATGGCAATGACATTCTTTTTTTTCTTTTAGATTGATTCATATGTATACTAAAAGGTTTCTGCTTTTGGTTTAGTGCATTTCTGTAGCAATATATGTCAGTGTATAAGAGGTCATGAATTGGAATAGACATGGCAAGAGGTCAGCCAATGGGGACTGTTTGGTGACTTAGACAGTTTGGAGCCTGGGCGTGGCTTAGCTTGACTGTTATGTATAAAAGAGTTGGTTTGTCCTTGCATTATTGCCTCTGTATCATAGAGCTTCTTTGATTATTGATTGTGTACTTCTGGATTCTGAGTTCTGGTTCTGGCTTCTGCTGTATGGTATTGTATATAAAGAAGTTTCTTATATAAATGAATCCTGCTGAATTATTTACTTGCGTGCTGGTTGGATTGCTGCAAACTCTAACAATATAGTGGTCCTTCGGATCTGGACTTTGCTGTCTTCAAAACAGTGGCCTTTGTCTTTTAAATGAAGATGGATTGCTGAATCTTGTCATGATGGGTTTGTTCTCCTATGTTGTGCCATGCATTTTTGAAGTGGTTGTTTTGTTTCCACAATGTACAGATCTGCACATGTCTCACTGCATTGTATTGCATATACCACATTACTCAGTTTTTGTCTGGGTGTTTTATCCTTGGAATGGACAAGCTTCTTGGGTTTGAAGTGTGCACATATGTTTTGTTGTCTTCAGTAAGTTCATTACTTACTTATGCCAACCGTTTAATATCCCATTTTCAGTATGTACAGGAATGATTTATAAAAGAAAAATAAGTCTTGGTAAAACAAGTCATCTTAACAACTGATACTTAATTTACCAGCTAAGAAAGATATAATGTTTGCCATCTTGAGACATCTACTGTTATACTTTTCAATTTGAAAAATACTTGTTTTTCAATAAATCCCTATTATTTTTTGTCAACAAATTGACAAAAATCTCAGCCCCTCTGGAAACGCCAGTGTTTTGCCGGTCGATGCAGCACACACACACGCACGAGTAAGTGGAACCAAAACTCGGTTTAATGATAACTACACAGTGACTTACAGTAGGCACTGAACTGGTTAATCAGAAACAAAGTTGGAGACGCCTGTGCTCTCCTCCCGTGCGGCTTTATAGGGAGTGAGAGTGTTTAACTATCATCAGATAATCTGCAACAGCTGCTGGAATCAAATCTGCCGCTCGGTTCTCCTGTCTTTGGGCGCAGATCTCTGATGTCATCCTCAGCTTTGTTTACAATCTGCTACATAATCCCCCTCCTTTCCTTCTTCATGTATCGCACCCCCTCTTCTTTGTGTTCCGTCCGTCACTGCTATCACCTGTGCATACAGTCCTAACCACAACACCCCCCCTCTACTGTGCTCTGTTGCTGGATTTCGTTCTGGGTCGTCCGGAGGGAATTCCCCCCCTTTCCTGGTCTCCCATGCTGACATGGTAACGTGGTGTAGGGGTATTTGATACTCGACAATTATATTCCTAAGTATTTAACCTTTTTTACAATGTTAAACAGTAATACTAAGAACAGATATTGCTTTTCTTTGTTAAATTGTATGTCAACATTAGAGGTTTTTTTCTTTATCAGATAATCTGCAACAAAAACTTATTACTGAATACATTAATACTATTAAAGAATCTTTTGGTTGGGTAATTGTCAGTACAGCATTATCACTGTATATTTCAATGTATATTTTTGAATTGCTAATTTAATTCCTGAAAGGTTATTTTCCTGGTGTATTTTCAGTTAATGGCAATAATGCCTGTATAAATGATAAAGGAGAAAAGAAACCAGTTTGTCTTGTCTTGTCTCTGTATAGTGCATTATTGTGACAAAAAGCCATTTACTAATAGTATGGCTTTTTAAAAAAAATAAATACTGTGTATCCAGTCCTTTAAAAAAAATAGAGTCAAACTCTTCATTTTCAAAACCTTTTCTCCTATTCCTCTTAACCAAACTTTTTCTTTCTTCTCTTTCTCTTGATTTTTCTGGAAGGCACAAGGTTATATGCATATACTTGTATGCTTCTCCATATGACAGTGAATTGTGGGAGAAAAAAACAATGATTCATGTATGCAAATGTGAATCAATTAATGGAAATAATTTATTGTAATTGCAATTGTTTAACCAGTAGTTGCTTGTATTCAGTAGTCCTGAAATTTTTGTATATCTGTCAACGGTCCAACTAGTGAACCCAAGAAAAGTAGACACTCTCAGGAACTTGTAAATCTCAAAGCAAAACTATTGGATACACCAGTTCAGCACTGAAGAATCAAAACCATCTCTGTTTTTTTTCTGTGCAATGATTGTATAGTTAAACAATAGTTTCTCTTTCTCGCCACCCGGAGGTGGTCACACTGTCCAATTATGTCAGAGTTTAGGCAGCGTGACTAGTATTATGAAATAAACCCAGGAGCAAAACACAGCACACAGAGCCTTTAGATAATTAACAGTGGTTTAATCCTTACCCTTATCATATAGCTACTGACACAAGGAGAGCAATGAGATACACGATGAGAGAGAACATGAGGAGAAGAAGAAATGCTCTCTAATGGCTTCCCTTATATAGGCAGCTTCCTACCAACCTTTTTTTTAAAAAAAATGATTTATATGCTGCCTTCTCCGGAGACTCGGGGGCTTACAATGCTTCTTCTTAAGCTTCTTAAAGTGATAGTAACCCTGCTGCCTCATTCCCATTGCATCAGTTTACAGTTGCCTCCGTTTACAACCTTCCATCAGTTTACAGCTATTAAATCTTCATACCCTGACAAATTATGAATCATCCTTTTGTTTTGAGAACAGTTCACTTCTCTGTCAGACTGTCAGTGACTTTGGTGGGATTTTGGCCCTCATGGTCTGTCTCTGGAGCATCTGCATTCTACTCTTTCCTCCCCCCAGTTCTTTGAATAGCAATAAGACCTAAACGCTTCAAAAGCAGTTGAACCTTGACAATATCACTTTTAGCAGGTTAATATACACACTTGCAAATAGTTACTGACTATTATTTTTTTTCAATATTTTTAAGTCTTATAGTGACAAATGTTGGACATTATTTGTTTAGTTTTATTCTTTTCTCCTATTTATTTTTCTCAAAAAAGGTTGCTTTAAATTTAATTCAATAAATATGAGAAAATATGGGTATTGATATTTTTCTGATGTCAAAGGGCTGGTAATAATCTTAAACATGTATAAAGCTATAAAATAAAGCTATTTTATAGCTTCTAAATCTACTAATCCAATCTTATCTTATCTGTGGAATTAAATGATCAGCACATTGCTACTTGACTTTTCCTATTGTATAGACTTTAAGTACCATATTTTTGTGAATGGCAGAAAACAATATAAAGCATTTAGCTCAGGTGCAGAAAATCTATAGCCACTTGCATTCATAATTGTATAATGTCCAGAGTTCTCCAAAATTACAACATCAAAACTTTTGGTGGAAATTTTTATGCACCTTGTATTTTATTTACACATGATTGCATAAGTCATTAAGAATGCATTGAGTCATATGAGTTTGTTTAATATTATCTGTTTTTAAAAGGCTAACATTTTAAATTTTCTTTGATTTGTTCTGGGCTGAAAGATGGGATATAAATATTAAAAATTAACAAACTTATTTGAGATAAAAACTTACCACTGTTGCAATGACAATAAAGAAGATGTCCTTTGTTATCATCTTATCAGCAGAATGACATTTGGGTATTTGGTTTTTGTAATTGTATGGAAAAGCACATTCCCATCCACCGCAATAATCATAATATAGTACATCTGGAGCACATGATGTTAAGGGAAAGTTATTATGTACAGAAAAATTACTCATAAGTAATTGATAAAGATTTAATGGCATACCAATTCTACATGAAAACTTTATTCTAGGGAATTCCAAAATAATTAAAGACCCTTTGGTTGACAATTGAAATTTGCAACTCCAGAATTTTAAGTAGATGCAGCTGCTAGTCTTTACTCTTCTGTATATTTCTGTGTATGTAGTAATACACAAAAACACAAAGAGAGACAGAGAACATAGTTGCCTGTATACCATGTGTTTTTAGCAGCTAGGATTTCCCTGCCAGACTTTTGCTATAGTTGTAAAAAAAAAAAAATGATCTAAAGTTAAATATTTCTAGTAGATGTCATCATATTTTATGTTCATAAGATAAAATTACCTGATTCCTGTAATCTTTTCTTAGCATTAGGCATGTTATTATCAGCTGAATCAATTCTAGAACTATTCCAGTATCTAAAGGGCTGCCACAGAGAGGGTTAACTCTTCTCCAAAGCACCTGAAGGTAGAACAAGAAGCAATGAATGGAAACTAATTAATGAAAAAACCAACCTAGAAATAAGGTGAAATTTCATGACTATTAGAACAATTAATCAGTGGAATGGCTTGCCTTTAGAAGTTCTGAGTGCTCCATCACTGGAGGTTTTTAATAGAATTGGACAACTATTTGTCTGAAATTATATAGGGTTCTCCCACTTGAGCAGGGAGTTGGACTAGAAGACCTCGAAGATCATTTCCAACTCTATTTTGTTATTCTCTGTAGGATTTTATTGAAGGTAGTAGACCATAATCTATTACATTGGTCCAAGTAAAGGATTAGTAGGTGTTTTTTTTTTTTTTTTTTACTTCCCAGTCTATGGTTGAAAGAGAATTACTACTGTAGAATCAACTTGCTGGCTTCTACATTTAAGAGAGGATTAGAACCAGGTTTCTTCACTTTTACTTCAGCACCGTGGCTTTTAGACCACACTGGCTCTATTTATATCTCATTTTCTTTTATGTAATATAATATATCCATTATTTTTTTCTTTCTTGGATATTATTACTTTTTATGAGTAATGCACTATCTAAAAAGAAAATATTTACATTAGTTCATATGTGTTCATAGGTATCTTACTGAAAATTATGTCTAATAAATATATATTAACCACAATATAATGTATCACATTAGGCATGCTTTCAAGATTATTTAAAAGAGTTTTAGCTTTGCACAAACATTTTCTCAATTATTCATTAAGAAAATTTGAAGTCTTTTGCTTTAAGAAATCCACACGTTAAATTAATAAAATGTTAAGGCATTAACATCTTTTTTTACAAATAGTTACAGAAGTCTTTTAGAAGGTTTTTTCCCCCCCAGAAATTTACAGAATATTTCTAGAGATGAAATATTTTTTTCTAAAACAGTAGTTATTAAGAAGGCAGAAGAAGGCAGAAGCGGAGCTCCAGAGTGGCAGTGGCAGAAGGCAGAAGTGGGGCTCCAGAGCGGTGGCAGCGGGGCTCCGGAAGGGTGGGCGGATGTCTCGGGGCTACATGTCTGCACCGCAGCAGAGCAGCAGTCTTGGCCCCAGTGTGGCATCTTTCTCGAGGGCTGTGCACCCACCCACTGGCCGGCAGGGCCTGGAAGTGGCATGTCCCCCCCATCATGGGCTGGAAGCGGGACCCAAGGTGAAGGGGAAGGTGAGCAGGCAGCAGTTCCCAGAAGCCCTGCAGAAGCCGAACGTGCCAGGCCCAAAAGACGGGTCTTCAGCTGAGTTTCCCTCCCCCACCATCAGCATTGGTCTTACCTTCCAGAGCTTCCATGCACCTCTGCTGACCTGAATGCCCTGCCCTTCAGATCCCAACAGGGCCAGCATGAAGTTGCCCATGAAGGTAAGGCTGATGGTGGGCCCTCAGGGGAGATGCCGCACTGGAGATGAGACTGCTGCTCTGTGGTGGTGCACACGTGAAGCCCCGGGACATCTGCCTGCCCTCCCAGAGCGCCACCACGAGGCACTGGCCCCATTGGGATCTGTGAAGGGCAGAGCACTCAGGCCAGTGGAAGTGTGTGGAAAGTCTGGAGCTCCTCGAGGCCTTCAGGACAGATCAGGTTGTCCAAGGCATTGCACTCCAGGAAAGGCTCCATTGTAGAGGACTGTGTGCCCAGACCAGGCATCTTGTCTTGGGCCTTGAGAAGCAGTAGGAGGCAGAGGGAGAGAGGGGGAGGGTAAGAGTCTTTGGAGACAAGCACCCTTCCCAGCCCCACTTCCCCGAGGAGGCCTACGGCCACCCACTGCCTCAAGTCTTCTGCTGCTGGAGTGAGCAGGAGCAGCAGAAGGCAGCTAGCCTAGGTGAGTGAGGTGGAGTGGAGATCGGCAAAGAAAGGCAGTTGAGGCAGAGAGCTGGGCCACAGCCACCACATTATAGGCTTTGGCGAAAAGCAGACAAGCTGGCTGGGCCACGTGGGAGGCAGCTGGGCTGGGATTCGGACCTTGCTCGCAGGCTCACCCAGGCAGATCAGGGCTGGTCTGCTGAGCCATGGAGAGAGTGCTGTGTGGGATGCAGCTATGGTGGCAAAGTTAGGCAAGCTGGCTGGCCTCCAGAGGTCGTATGGTCAAGGCAAGCAATGGAGCCAGACAGAGAGCAGCAGCAGCAGCTAGGCCGGGCAAGAGGGAA